TGATGAGATGGCGGTGCCTAGAGAGATGCTTCATTCATTCTCTATACAGAAGTTTGACGCATTGGAACTTCAAGCTACAAAATACTCACGTTCATATCAACTTCAATGGCTGCTAGATAGTGTGTTTGGCGATGTGGTGCAGAGATGTGTAAGTTCGCTACCAAACAGAGAGATCGATCTCGTTTACACTCCTTGTGATATTTGTCCGGGTTCGAGGACGAGTCATTTTAAAGAGGGGGAGTATGATACGATCCTAACAACCTCAAAGATGAAGAATTGGAAGAAGCGCAAGCGTGCGAGTTTTAAGAGGATATTCGAGTTTTCCTTGGAGAAGAAAGGATGGAATAAAATGTTTGAGATGTGTATGGTCTGAAATTGGAAGAAAAGAAAGAGAAGAATTCGTTGGACAAGTCGAATTCCATGCATCCAAGATTGTTGCCTATTCTGGCAGAGTTTACTATTCGAGTTATAACTCTCGCATCTGAAGTCCATTTATGCTGATTAAAAATGATTCGGAAATATAATTGGATGATCTACAACTTTTATGTTTTGAGCGAAGAGATATTCAAAGTGGAACAGTGTCGAAATGGAGCTTTAATTGCATGCACGTGCACTGCCCAATGTCTACGCGAGTTGAGAAGGGTGATCGAGAAGTCGATTTGAAGATCAAGTTATTTAATTTACTTATTCACGTTTTTAATTTAGGTTTATAATGTTTTTATTATTTTAGAGTCTTTTATGTTAAGGATTTGCTTATTTATAAGTTTCCTTATTTTAGATTAGGTAGGAGTCATTTTCCTTGTGAAAAATGAGTCTTTTTAGATCTTATAAACAGGTTGCCAATTTGGCGTATTTTATTGGACGAATTTTGATGATTTAATTGAGAATATTCTCTTTGGTTCTTTAAGAACTCTTCGAACATATCGGTGGATTCCGTTTGTTCACCCCGACTTATCAATCGAACTTTCACAATCGACTGTGGCGTCTTCACATACCAAGGTTCTTGCCTCTTTATAGGCAACGGGTCGCGGTTCCACCTCTTTGAATCTTTGTTTTTGGATGTTTTCGATCTTGCTTCCGCGTAAAGTATTAGGGTCTCGTAACAAGTTCTACGGGGTTCGTATCATTGCTGGTTGGCGGTGGCTAGGGTTTTGGTAGGAAACACTTGGTGCGAGGAGTCCTTGGCGGTTGGTTTCAAATTTTGTGGCATTAAAAGCCATAACCTCTCTATCTATATCTCTTAAATTTTCGTTGATTTTGTGTGTTTGAACATAACTATTTTTTTTTTTTTTTTTTTGTGATTGCAGCTTAATGGAATCCATTGATCTTCTCCTTGAAAGTGCCACAAATTTTGGTTTAAGTTAGTAGATGATTTTTGGCGAATTTTACATCTGTATTTCGAGCTAGAGTCGACCATAGGCTAAATACATTACTACACATTAATGTACATTACTATTATATTTAGTAACATATAGTAACATATGTATGTGATTGTGTATTTCTCGATCTGTAGTTTTTGGTTACGAGTTAATTTATAATAGGACAAAATCCACTCCACCCCCTACAAATTTCCCATTTCCGCACTTCCCCCCAAAAAAATCAAAAAATGGATAAAAGCCAATTGGTTGTACTTTGCCCCAAAAGCCAATTTTTGGTCCGCATTGTGCAGCAAAAATAACATTTTAAAGGGGCAATGTGCAAAAATATAGTTTTTTAAGGGGTAACAAGCAACAAAAATAACATATAAAGGGGCAATGTGCAACAAAAATACTCAAATGCCGATGAATAATCCATCGAAAGTTTGCTATCAGGGCAACGTGCAACAAGAATAACATTTTGAAGGGGGCATTCACTTTTTAAAATTTTGAGGTGGTAAAGTGCAAAAAATAGAAATTTTTAGGGGGTGACGTACAATTTTCCCTATATAATATAAGTATTTTAAATTTGTGAATTATATTATTGGTGTGGATTTTTTTTTTTTTTTTTTTTTGTATAATTGGTGATATTGGTGCATGCACATATTGGTGTATGTACATAAAAGAAAGAACAATAATACGAATGACTACGGTAAGCATATCGAATAAAAAAATTGAAGTATTAAAAATGTTAAAAAATATATATAATAAAAAAAATTAATTAAAAAAATAAGTAAAAAACGATAAATGCAGGTCCAAATATGATAAATGCAGATGGAAAAATATTGAATGCAGTTGGACGAAAACTACGTATGAGAGTAGTATATTGCTTTCGCTTCTTCAGGGGTATCTCAAAGGATGAGTTGGACCTTGATTAATCCCTACTTTACTAGGTGCCGAGGGGTATATCAAAATTCACCTTATATTATATTCTATTATATTGAAACTATGACTATTTTGCAAGGTTCTAAATATCGGTTATCGGGTCCGAGGCGGTTTGGGACCGCCACACAATAAATTGGTGCGGCGGTAATTAATCAAAGATATATCGGAAATAAATCGGTTTTAGATTTAGTGTAATATATTTAAATACTTCAAACGTATAAAACAAAATTGAACTTGATTCTCTCCTCATCGTTTATATATTCTAATCTAAAAATAGATGTAAATAACTAAAATTGATTTCAAATAATAAATTCTTAACTTTTTTTTAACACCATTATCTGAGCGAATTGCATATAACCCCAAGGAAGAAGAATTATTCGTACTCCTATCCAGACCAAAATCCGTCCTACAAAAAAAGCTCAACTTCTTGTCTCTTGTCTAAAATACCCCTGACAATAGAATTTAGGGTAAATAACACTTTGCCGCTTGAACTTAGGCCTGTTTTGCAGTGTCACCTTAACCAAAAAAAAAATCACGATGCCACTCAAACTCAATTTTTTTGTGCCATGTACTTCAAATAGGTACCCAACACATACCTTTTAGATAAAGAATCAACTTTGATTCTAAAGTAATCTGGATTACTCTTAATAATGCTAGCAAAATAAGAAGACCAAGAACATTTCAAATCAAAAGCACCAACAAGACCGTCCAAGAGAATATTCCCAGCAACAATCAATGCAATTTACCCAATTCCACACACATATTAGAGAAAGAACCCACGAAATCTTAACAGAATCCAACCGAATCGGTGGTCATGTTTAGATACATCTGTCGGGTAAAAGGACTATATTACCCCCATATGCAATTTTCGCCTAATTGCATTCAACATTTTTGTCATATCCATATTTCATTTTTGGATTCGCATTTATCATTTTCACTGATTTTTTAAAAAGAATATTTCGATATGTATATTGTATTAAGGGCAAATTTCTCGTCACCACTATAAATTTATAATTTTTTCTCTTTACCCTCTCAAATTTAAAAAAGTGAATGTCCCCCTTCAAAATGTTTTCCTTGTTGCACATTGCTCCTATAGAAAAAACTCCAATGAATTATTAATCCGAATTGAGTGTTCTTATTACACATTGCCCCTTTAAATGTTATTTTGTTGCATGTTGCCCTTAAAAATATTATTTTTCTGCACATTGCCTCTTTAAAATGTTACTTTTGTTGCACGAAGGCCACCAAAAACAAAGTGCAACCAAAATAATATTTCGAAGAAGGTAATTCATTTTTTTTAGTTTTTGGGGGGAAAAGTGCAAAAATGGAAAATTTATAGTGGTTGAAGTGCATTATGTCCTATTTTTGTATATAATTCCAGTTTCAATCCAAAAAAGTCGGAAAATATCATAAACTGGAATTTTGGAAATCGGAATGAAAAAAGTTGTTCCGAAATCGGAAGTTTTCGGATTGGAACCGGCGAAAATTGAAAATTCCGTTCCAACTTTCACCCCTAGCTGCAGATGAACATAAAACGAGCTCGAATTTGGTGGGCTACGTGAGATTCGATTACATCTTAAGCCGCATATGAAACACATGCAGTTGCCTCTTCAAAACTTGTGCTTCTTCGCTTATAACACCATTTGAATCGGTTTGTACGTAATCTAGCAAGAAACCGGCCTTTTCGACACGAGATTCAGATTGTTTCTTGTGAAGAGAAATCGGAAGGCGAGGATGAACATGAATTTGATCCATAATTTCGCTGAACTTGCCATAAAGACTTTGACTCAATCTTTTGATGAATATTCCACTTCTCTCGTTTTCTCTTTTTCTTTTTCCTTTTTTTTTGAAGCAGGGGACCCTCTTATTGAATGATCAGCTACCCTCTTAACTCTAATCTCCTCCACAGAATTTTATCATTATTGAATTCTCCTACCGAGCTCCATCCATATACCCGAGAAATAAATCTCAGTGGCCGTACGAAGTTTAGATTTGGCTGCCGCCGGAGCTCACTTCGCGTTCCCCGTTACCAAACAAAACTTATCCCTCTCGTTAAACAAGATTCAAAGAGGAACGTATAATCACAGACAGATACATGGCAGCTTATGCAGCTCTAGTTTCTGTTTTGACTATCATTGACCATATCCAAAATCATCCTTGCCTTTCGATTTCCTTCGACATGAACCAGCTCGAATCTCTCGGCGAGAAGGTTGGTTTCTTGCTTGATTTTGTAAAGAATGATACTCATGGTGTTGTAAGCGAACAAGTTGAAGTTTTGGAGAGCCAAATTGCATCTGCAGCCTATGCCGCTGAAGACGTAATCGAATCTCATGTCGTCGACCAAATTCAACCTGCAGGTTCGGTTGAAGGTCATCGTCTACAGAAAGTAGTAAAAGATATCAGAAAAAAGGTTACTAAGATCTTACGCTCAAAGAAGGTTATGAAAGATGAAATTGCCACCGGTTCGATTTCCATGCTTGATCTCCAGACGGTAATAGTAGACATGGATTCTATGAAGAAAAAAGTTTTGGAGTTGAAAGATGAAATTGGATCCAACGAACATGATATGCAACCCACACCAACTACTTCATCAAATACACCTCTTATTACCACCGGGAAGAATACTATGGTCGGATTTGACGAACAGTTGCTTCAACTTTTGGACAGCAATCTAACCGGCAAGTCATTCCAATCGTAGGCATGGGCGGCATTGGTAAGACTGCACTTGCCCAAAATGCTTATGAACATTCACTTATTGTCCACCATTTTGATATTCGTACTTGGGTCACAGTATCTCAAAAGTATAATGTGAAAGAACTTTTTGTTCAACTTCTTTCAAAGCTAATAAGTAGTGAAATCGATAGCGAAATTGACGAGCAATTATTAGGACAAAAGTTGCACAAAATACTATGGGGTCGGAGATATTTGATTGTAATTGATGATATTTGGGGCATTGAAGCTTGGGATAGTTTAAATCTTTTCTTTCCAGAAAACAATAATGGAAGTCGAATTGTTGTGACTACAAGGATATCGAATGTGGCTACTCACTTCGACTCCTCGTCGTTTGAGTTGAGTTTTCTAGATGAGGAAAAAAGTTGGGATCTATTTTGCAAAAAAACATTTGGTGAGGCCGATTGCCCTCTTGAACTAGAGGATATTGGAAAGGAGATTGTTAAGAAATGCAAAGGACTTCCCCTTTCGATTACTGTGATTGGTGGACTTCTCGGAAGGTCCCATATGACGCAAAAATACTGGAAAAATATTGCAAGAGATATACACTCAATTCTCAACTCTGGAGAGGACAAGAATTGTTCGAGTATATTATCTTTGAGTTACACCTACTTGCCTCCTCATCTTAAACCATGTTTTCTTTACATGAGCATTTTTCCAGAAGATGAAAAGATTAGCGTCTCCCAACTGATCAAACTTTGGGTGGCTGAGGGATTTATAAGATCGAATAAATCTCAAAGCTTGGAAGAGATAGCACGGGGTTACTTAAATTAATGATCTCATTGGCAGAAATCTCATTTTAAAACATATGTTGGGATCGAATGGAAGAATTAAAATTTGCAAGATTCATGATCTTTTGAGAGACTTATGTCTAGAAGTAGCTCAGAAAGAAGAGTTTATCTGTGTGATGGAAGACAAACCACGAGGCACAGAAAGGGGGCGTCGTATTGTATTTAGTGAAAAAGTTCAACATGTGTCCTTCATACTTTGCAATTGGGATCACTTACCAGTACATGGGTAACAAGTATTGATGGTCGATTGTCCAACAATAGATTGTTGAGAGTAATGACGTGCAACAATGGACGCAAGAAAGAATATTTAAGCCAGCATATTGTTGATCAAGTGAACATGCGGTATCTTGCTTACAACGATGAATCCAAGATAATGGCTGCTTGTGTCAAGCTACCTTCGTCAATAGCTGCTCTCTGGAATTTGCAAACAATAATTATTAGTGGGAAAATTAAAGTACCGTTACAAATTTGGGAGATGCGACAACTTAGGCATCTAGATATATTTAGTTTATTCCTACCTGTTCCTCCTCGTAGTTGTGACAAACAACGCGATGAGATTGTTGTGCTAAATCTACAGACACTAAAGAAGGTAGTAAACTTTGTGTGGAGCAAGGAGGCTTGTAAGAGAGTACCCAATGTCAGGAAACTGAACATATACGCAGATAGCTCAAATGATTATTCGCTCTACAATATTAGCCACTTGCATAAACTTGAATCACTTCAGTGCTTGTTGTTAGGTGAGGATAATATGTTGCAGAAGCTCACATTCCCATGTTCTCTCAGGAAGTTGAGTTTATCATATGGAAACGGTCTTTGGGAAGATTTAACGGTGATTGGTTCGTTACCGTGTCTTGAAGTTCTAAAACTGTCAATGGGTTCGGTCAAAGGAACCGTGTGGAATCCTGTTGAGGGGGAATTCCTTCGCCTGAAATTCCTCTCAATATATTGGTCTGATCTGGTGTACTGGAATGCAGGCAGCTCCCATTTTCCGATTTTGGAGAAACTTGTTCTTGAACTAATGTTCGGATTGGATGAAATCCCTATAGAGATTGGAGAAATACCAACACTTGAATTTATTCATGTGAGACGCTGCACGGAATCTGCGGCCGTTTCGGCTATGAAGATAGCGGAGGAACAAGAGAACGCCTGCAATGAGGGACTTCAAGTTCGAGTTGTGATCGATGGAAATGACGAATTGGAGAGTTTTCAGGAAAAGATGAAACAATCAGCTTCACTAGATATAATTTTCAAGTAACGATATTCTAGGACTTCTAGTTTACACTAAAAGTCTAGACCAACAATGCACTACTCCATTTTCTTGTAATAAACTTGGGGCTTCTCTTTATTTTATTGTATTGTAATTTTTTTTTCTTGTCAGTCTCATATGTGATAGATGTTTTGTCAATAGTTTCACATTATTTATATATAGATATTTCGATTCAGCTCAAGGATTGTATCAAAATAAGAATAATGTCTTTCCATAGATTATATATAAGAGATTTTAATATTTTAATATTAAACTAGGCAAGTGCACGTGCCCAAGGGCGGAACCAGGATTAGAAAGTAAGGGGGGCTAACTAAAATTTCGGGGTTCGGGGCAGCGGCCCGAAATTTTTTTTAGGTTCACAAGACATTGCAAAAATAAGTTTATATTGCGAATTTTTAATTAAAATAACACACACACACACACACACACACACATATATATATATATATATATAATTTTATCATATTTACAAAAAAATTAAATTATTCTAATAATATATTACACTTAATGGGATTCATGGCACCGTCTCATATTATTTTTTAGACACATGAATATAAAAAAAATCAAAGATCAATAAGTAAATATTCATAAATTTTATTTAAAATAGTACAAGTTTTAATAATTTTATTTTATATTTTTATATTAAATATGATATATATCTATAATTTATATAAAATTATGGAGAATAAACAAAAAAATTTAAGGGTTAAGACACATATTTACAAAACCTTTGGGAGGCAAAAATAATATTTAAAAAATATAATGTCAAATAGCTAAAAAAAAAAAAAGGAAAAATTCTTGGGGGGTCAACTGCCCCCCTCCCCCTTAGTGGCACCGCCAGTGCACGTGCCTTGCACGAGTCGAGTTAAGTGTTTTATGTATGGCATTACTTATTAATAATCAACATACGTATAATTGTAATAATAGTCTCTACGACAGTCTCTACAAACACTTGATCATATTGTTAGAGAACCTAATAAATAAGAAAAAAAAATTGACCATCAATAAGCTTATGTTCCCCTCAATTGAAGGTGTATTGTCTTCATAATTTAAAAAATGGAACTATATATAAGTGAATACAAAATTTATATAGAACAATTACATATATGGTGGAAGTGTGAAACTTATTGCAGCAACTTCGGCCGCCGAAAGGAAGGAAACTCAAAATGAAAAGAAACGAAATAACCAACTTACAAATGATAATCCAACTAACCACAAGCAAACAATATCCTAAAACTCAAAAACAAAACATGTAAGTTGATCCTCCGTATACAAGTAATGCCGTATGTTGAAAATAATTTGACTTTGCTTCGAAATGTTCGCGAACATTCTGGCCTACCTATCATTTTACGAAGGTAGATCAAATATCCAAAAGATTTACAAAACTTACATAACTTCTCTTTCTGTTTTTGTTGAATGAATAACACTAAACTGGAATCTTTCTGAGATGATAGGGTTTGATGAAGCTAACATCTTTGAGAATTTTAATTGAAAGGGTATTTTGTTTTTTGTCTGTATTTTTGAATCATGAATCGCAAATTTCATAAATTCACAAAATTTTGTCTCGAACTCAACCCTATTTGATCCTACGGAGAACAACGCATTAAAAAAGAAATAAAATCTTAAGTGACACAAAAAAATCTACATTTTCATGACCTTAATGGCATTTTAATTGCAATGGTTCATCCATTATAAAAATCTGCTAAAAACAATAAAAGACTACAAACTTCATCGAATATACAAAAAAAGAAAGAAAAAAAACCACACACGCACACACAAATTAAGTGCCAAATCGTAACAAACAACAACAAATACTATTTTCAAAGACCAACAAAATTTATTTAACAACGAAATTATACCAATTTTCTTTTTGGCACCGCAAATCAACTGCGCCGGAAAATGAGAAGATTCGCCAGAATAAGCCCCTTAGATGGTTATGTGTGTCAAAAAAATGGATTTGGGTGCGCATGTTTAACTTTTTTTTAGTTAAAATGGCAAAGTGCAAAAACAGGAAAACTAAATGCGGCAAAATGCTATTAACCCTAATGGATAATGTTAGAATTCTTTGGATTCTGACTTTGCAAGGAAACGTGTAAAAGGAGTTGTACCACAAGTCTAGATATGCCGTGATATAAGAAGGGGAGTTTCCTTGTGTTTTAATTCTTTTTAATTTGTCATTAATTGATTAATATTAGGAATTATCTTTATACAAAGAGTTTTCTTATTTTACAACTTATTCTCCTACGTGAATAAGAATCCCTAACCTAATGGATTTTATTTCCTTGGTATTTTAATTAGTATTTTATTAATTGTGGAAATTAGTGTTTGACTAGGACTTAATATCTTTTGATAAGGTTTATTCCTAATAAGCCTGATACTGTTATTTTGATGTTGGTTTCCTGTAGGATTCTTTATCATGCTTATAAAAGAGAAGCAAAGTCACATGACCGTGCAGTGCTTTTGGAGAGAAAAATATTTTCTCTTTTCTTTGTTGCTCTTCTGGAGTCTTTTTATCGAGAGAAAAATTCACATAGAAAATATTATTTGCTCTCGTTTTTATTGCTCCATTGTGATACGTGATTTTCATAGAAAATATATCGGCTTCAAGGCTTTGTGGTGAAGACACCAAGATTCAAGGAGTATCACAAGTTTGCTTCTTCTATACAAAAAGAAGATCGGTTCTTCGGGAGAGGGGCTTAAACAGATCTCGGGAGGAGACCGATCCGCCGGCTGAGGGATTCAGCGTTGAAGGGAGTTCAACCGTGCGGAGCAAGGGACGTGCTGCAAATTGAAGATTTATAATTTAGCGTAGTATACAAGAACGGCGTCAACAAAGAGGGAGTCTTTGTATTTTGATTAAGTCCTATTATTGTATTCGTAAAACTAAAAATTAGTAAATTTTATTTGCAGGTCCCCGTGGATGTAGGGTACAATTGTATCCGAACCACATTAAAATTTGTGTCTCGTTTATTTCTGTTTTTACGAACTGTTTCACGAACTGTTGCAACACTTCACGCAACAGTAACGAAAAACTGAATCTGACACAAATAATTTATATCTGCACGAAATAAATTTTAACAATTGGCATCAAGAGCCTGTCACTAGATACACTTAGTGAGATTTTGGGATTTAATATTTTTTATTTTATTGTGCAGATATGAATAATCATCGTGAAGGCGCATTCCTACCACCTCTCTTGGGTGAATTGAACTACTCTGATTGGAAAATAAGGATGAAGATGTTCATCAAATCTATTGATGAATGGGCCTGGCGCGCGATTCTATTTGGTTGGACCCCTCCTACCTCAATGAATGAGTCACACGAGATCATTCAAACGCCAAAAGAGAAGTGGAGTGCTGAAGAATTACGAATAGCAGATTATAATTCCAAGGCAATCAATGCTATCTTGAGTTGTATCGATGACGACCAATTCAAATTGATATCGATGTGCAAATCAGCAAAGGAGGCATGGGATGTTCTACAAGAGGCCTACGAATGAACTACTCTGATAAGCAAGTGCAAAGAGACTGTGGCTGAAACTGTTGCAACAGTTGGACAGACAGTTCAAACAGAACTCAGGTATGATAATTTGCCTTCAATAGACGACATCGGTTCAACTCCCTTTATTCTTGCAGGTGACGATAGGGATTCAGAAAACAACAGTGATGATGACAAGACGACCTTGGAAGAATTAAAGAAGTGCTACGAAAGGATGTACGAAAAATTGCTTCAGGTATGCGAGTCGAATAAATTCTTAGAAAAAGAGAAGCTTGTCCTAATTGAGGAAAACAAAGTGTTGAAGGTAAGAATTTCTACTCTTGAATAAAATGTTATTTCTGCTAGTAGAGAAACAGATAGTTTGAAGGCTAAATTTGCTCAAACCCAAGATGTTATTTCTAAGTTTAATACTGGTAGAGTAACTTTGAATGAAATTTTGAACAAAAATCAGCCGAACTGTGGTCGTATAGGTATAGGGGGTAATCAGCTATCTAATGATGCATTGAAACAGAAAGAGAATCCAAAAAGAAAAATCAATTTTGTTAAACAATCCACTGTTTCACAAACTGTTGCGACAGTTGCACCAACACAGCCATTTCAAAGAAAAGTTTTTGTTCCTACCTGTCATTTTTGTCATGTTCCTGGTCATATACGACCCAGGTGTTTTAAGTACTTGAAAATGGATAAAAGAATAATGGCCCGCTCACCACTTTCCGCTAAAATTGATCACACTTTTGTGTCGACTCAAAAACCCAAGATAAAGGTTGATTTAGTGAATAAAACTCAACAAAAAATCTGGGTAAAGAAGTCTGATCTTAATTCTTTATCTGCCATTACTTCTTTAAAATCATGTGATGATAGTACTAACTGTTCCAACAGTTCTGGTGACAAAGCTAGTTTGAGGAATAAAAAACTTGGTATTCTAAATTGTGATAATTTGTGTGCGAAAAATAAGTTTATGAATCAAATTCAGCATTCGAGAACTAAGCTTACTGATATTTGTCATCGTTTCATAAGGGGCTTGGTTGAAAAGGGGGTTGTCTCAATTGATTATGTTGCAATGGAGAATGAATTAACTGATGCTTTTGCAAAAACCCTTGATGCACAGAGATTTGATTCCTTGCGAAAATCGCTGGGAATTTATGTTGTTTAATATGCTGCAGTTGCATGAACTGTTGCAACAGTCTGTGTGTCCAGACTTGCAACTTTTAGTGGTAGGACATTGCATATGTTTTTGCATCTCATATAGGACCTGCATTAAGCATACTGCATATGATTGAGACAAATGTGAATTTGATACTTCGTGTACTTCTAAACTTTGTGGGGGTAGAACTTCACCAATTCTCAAAATGATTACTTAAAAGGCTCCAACTTATTTATTTCTCTGAATAGTCTTGTCATGGTTGGATTTTTTATAGGGAAAAGCTGCCTCTTTTAATGAGTGAAAGCTACTCTTGAACTACTGTTACTAATATATATATCTACAACCATTTGGTCAGTGAATAGTTCGAAGCCTTTTTGAGTCGAGCCAGTAAATCACGTGGCCGAAAGCTCGCTACAAGGCTCAATTAGAAAGCCCAGGGGACTACACATTGCACGGCCAGTATAAATTATATATATGGTCAGTGAATAGTTCGAAGCCTAGTTGAGTCGAGCCAGTAAACCACTTGACCGAACACTCACTACAAGGCTCAATTAGAAAGCCCAGGGGACTACACATTGCACGACCACATAATCTCATTCATTTTAATTGCTCTGTTTTTCATGGGAAAAAGCTACCATTAGACGTGTGTGTACGCTACCTAATAAGAGCATCTTTGTGTTTGACTTGGGATTATTAAGTTTATTGGTTGCATTGGCAGTAGGATTTTTTGGGATTGCGCTTATCGTGAATGTGAAGATAAATCCCATATGTTTTGTTTGTCCATGCAGTATCCTATTCACATATGTCTCTTCACTCATGTTTATTTCTCATGTTTACTTCTTGTCTTGCATTAGGCATTATTTAAAAATAAAAAAAAATAAAAAAAAAGAGAGAGAGAGAGACGGGATTTTTGTTCATGTGCCGGTTAAATTTGATTCTTATTGCAACCGGATCTATTGGGCCTACTACTCACATTTCCTCGTTTCGTATGAAGTTTGACAAAGTCTGTAGTCTTTGTTATTTAATGTTGGATTTGTTATCATTATCCTTTGATTTTCGCATTGCAATTATCGTGTGGTATTGAGGCTGTGAGTTTGTGATTTTGTATGCACGTTATGTATAGTGATTCTTCTCACTTACTTCCAAGATTCTGTCTTCGTTTTGATCTTTTTGTTAAGTGTTTGAACAGATTGCTCGGAACATATTGCATGGTGATTGCCTAGAAAGGGGGAGAAAAGAATAATAAAGATGCCATGAACAGAGGGGGAGTTCTGAAAACTGTTGCTACAGTGCATTTAACAGTTGCTGGAACAGTGCAGGAATACAGGGGGAGTTCAGACAACTGTTATGACAGTGCATCAGACAGTTACTGGAATAGTGCAGAAATACAGGACAAATAATGAGCATTGTGAAGAGAAGTTGTTTCTGCTACCGCATATCCTTTTATCTCGTGCTTATCTGAACGAATTATCTGCTTTTATTTTGGAACTATGGTTTATTTACGGTTTACACTATCTACTGAACTGTTTGATAAACTGTTGCAACAGTTTATATGTGCAGATGTTATTCTGAATTTGCTAACCCTTGTTCATGCAGATATCATATATTTAGGGGGAGTAAATGTTCTGACCAATCAATGCCAAAGGGGGAGAGTGTTAGAATCTCGGTGGGATTCTAAGTCCACAACACCAAGTGGAATTCTACGGAGATGTGTATTAATATGGGGAACATATTTTCCTTAGTTATCTCATTAGATAATTTGAGAAGAAATAAATTATCTCTCCATATTAACACGTGAATGTGTGTATCCAAAATAGAAGGAATTTCATTTTTTCTAATATTGTGTGTATTGTCATTAATTGGTTTAGGTCTTCACAAGAATATAAAAGGAGGAGTTAATGCTGACGTTATTTGCTGAGTCGTTTATCACGTGGATGATTTACCACGTCGCCCTCCACCGCCCTCCAAGTCTACCAAGTCAAGTAAGCAAAGGGGAAGAATGAAGTCATTTACAAGAGGAGCTGCCTAAGGATCACCTACAGGGGGAGAACCACATGCAGGGGGAGCTGACTCCGCTGTGAACCACCTGCCGAAGCCACTACTGCTGGAACAGTTGCTGAAACTGTTGCACTTGCTATTGCAGCAGTTGATGCCACTCTTGTTGCTGGATGTTCCTTTAATGCTGAGGATGATCCTTCGTTTTATTGCTTCCACCTATCATCTGATTGTTTTATTTTCAGGTTATTTTACTCAGGGGGAGAAAATGATTATAATCAATAAACGACAAAGGGGGAGATTGTTAGAATTCTTTGGATTCTGACTTTGCAAGGAAACGTGTAAAAGGAGTTGTACCACAAGTCTAGATATGTCGTGATATAAGAAGGGGAGTTTCCTTGTGTTTTAATTCTTTTTAATTTGTCATTAATTGATTAATATTAGGAATTATCTTTATACAAAGAGTTTTCTTATTTTACAACTTATTCTCCTACGTGAATAAGAATCCCTAACCTAATGGATTTTATTTCCTTGGTATTTTAATTAGTATTTTATTAGTTGTGGAAATTAGTGTTTGACTAGGACTTAATATCTTTTGATAAGGTTTATTCCTAATAAGCCTGATACTGTTATTTTGATGTTGGTTTCCTGTAGGATTCTTTATCATGCTTATAAAAGAGAAGCAAAGTCACATGACCGTGCAGTGCTTTTGGAGAGAAAAATATTTTCTCTTTTCTTTGTTGCTCTTCTGGAGTCTTTTTATCGAGAGAAAAATTCACATAGAAAATATTATTTGCTCTCGTTTTTATTGCTCCATTGTGATACGTGATTTTCATAGAAAATATATCGGCTTCAAGGCTTTGTGGTGAAGACACCAAGATTCAAGGAGTATCACAAGTTTGCTTCTTCTATACAAAAAGAAGATCGGTTCTTCGGGAGAGGGGCTTAAACAGATCTCGGGAGGAGACCGATCCGCCGACTGAGGGATTCAGCGTTGAAGGGAGTTCAACCGTGCGGAGCAAGGGACGTGCTGCAAATTGAAGATTTATAATTCAGCGTAGTATACAAGAACGGCGTCAACAAAGAGGGAGTCTTTGTATTTTGATTAAGTCCTATTATTGTATTCGTAAAACTAAAAATTAGTAAATTTTATTTGCAGGTCCCCGTGGATGTAGGGTACAATTGTATCCGAACCACATTAAAATTTGTGTCTCGTTTATTTCTGTTTTTACGAACTGTTTCACGAACTGTTGCAACACTTCACGCAACAGTAACGAAAAACTGAATCTGACACAAATAATTTATATCTGCACGAAATAAATTCTAACAGATAATTTAAATTTGTGAGAAGGATTGTTTTAATGAGAAATTTTTGTTCTAATTATTTTTTTATAAGAGGATTTTCCTTATATATATTTTTCAAATAGTGGGGTCTTGCTAATTTTCCCTATGGTTAATTATCAGCTCATCCATTCAGAATTTAAACTCAATTCTTTGGCAAGTCGGGATGAGGTGCCTAGTTGATGTCCAAAATGTAAAATCCCATACTAGTTGTAGTAAATCATTTATGAAAAAAAAAAAAAAAAAAGGGTAGTTACGTTGTTGCTTGTTTTAAATAATAATATAAAATTGTAAAACTAAAGCAATTTGTGGGAAGACTCAGGCGGAAGTCTTCTTGGCATGTTAGCACAACACAAATACAGTAAATCTGATCCTATTCTCAATTTGCGCCGACAGTTTTGTTCCCCCTCAAAACTATCCATAGTTGGAAGAAGATTAGAGATCTATCTATCTATATATGGCAGCTTATGCAGCTTCAGTTTCTCTGATCACTCTTACGGAGCAGATCGAAAACCATCCTCGCCTTTCGATTTCTGTCGACAAGAGCCAGATTGAATCTCTACGCGAGAAGATCGGTTTCTTGTTAAAATTCATAGAGAACAATATTACTCGTGGAGCTATAAACAATGAAGCTCAAGTGCTGTTGAGCCAAATTGCATCTTCAGCCTATTCGGCCGAAGATGCAATCAAATCTCACGTTGTCGACCAAACACAAGCGATGGAAGATGCCAAAAGAAAGGTTACCATAATCAAGTCCACGAATTCGATGCCACTACTCTGTTGCCTCAAGGAAGCTGTAACTACTGAATCTGATCCATTGCATTTGCACCAAATTAACGATGGCTCGATTTCCTTGCTCGATCTTCAGACGGTAATAGACGACGTGGATTCCATCAAGAAAAAGGTTATGGAGTTCAAAGATGGTTTGCCGCCCGCATACTCGGTGCCAGCTACTACTACTACTACTACTACTACTACTTCAACATCTCTTACGAGTATTACCGGAAAGAGCACGATGGTGGGATTTGAGGTCGAGTTGCATGAACTTCTGGAGAGGCTCACCGGGCTACAATCTAATTTGCAAATCATTCCAATCGTAGGCATGGGCGGCATTGGTAAGACTACTCTTGCCAAATATGCTTATGAAAATTCACTTATTACGCGACCTTTTTATATTCGTCGTTGGGTTACCGTATCCCAAAAATATGATGTCGGAGGGCTTCTTCTACAACTTCTTTCTGAGCAAAGTAGTGAGATGATTAGTAAAACTGATGAGCAATTAGGCGATGTGTTATACACAAGGCTATGCGGTCGGAAGTATTTGATTGTAATAGATGATATTTGGAGTGTCGAGGCTTGGGAGAAGCTAAAACGTTTCTTTCCAAACGACAAAAATGGAAGTCGAATTGTTGTCACTACAAGGATATTGGATGTGGCTAACGACTTTGGCTCTTCGTGCCTTCGTGTGAATTTTCTAGATGATGGTAAAAGTTGGAAACTATTTTGTGAAAAGGCATTTGGTGATCAATCCGGTTGCCCTTCTGAGCTAGAGGATACCGGGAAGGAGATTGTTAAGAAATGCAAAGGACTTCCCCTTTCGATTTCTGTGATTGGTGGCCTTCTTGGAAGGTCCCATAAGACGCAAGAATATTGGAAAATTATTTCAAAAGATTTAATCTCCAATTTGAACCTCGAACAGGACGAGAATTGCTCAAGTATATTATCTTTGAGTTACACCTACTTGCCCCCTCATCTTAAGCCGTGTTTTCTATACATGGAAATTTTTCCAGAAGATGATATGATTCATGTATCCAAATTGATCAAACTTTGGGTGGCTGAAGGATTTATAAAGCCGAATAAAGCCCAAAGCTTGGAAGAGATTGCAAGAGATCACTTAAATGACCTCATTGACATGAATCTCATTTTGAGATATAGTTTTGGGTCAGATGGAAGAATTGTATATTGTCAGATCCATGATCTTCTGAGGGACTTGTGTCTAAGGGTAGCTCACAGTGAGAAGTTTATTTGTATGATGAAGGACGTTCCACGGCGCCTGCTTGTAGGAATTCTATCTCAACGTCATGTTGTACTTGATGAAAGAATTCCCCGGTTTGTAATTAGTTCTGAACCCATGTTTTTTAAAGAACTTCCTTATTCATCAACATCCCTACTCTGGAATTTGCAAACACTAATTCTTAATAGCGTAATTGATGCACCATCTGAAATTTGGGAGATGCGACAACTTAGGCATCTACATATCCTTCGGGTGTCGCTCCCCGATCCTCCTAAGAGTCGTAAGCAACAAAAGAACGACATTGTTTTGCCAAATCTGCAGACACTTAAGAATGTAATGAACTTCAAGTGGAGTGAGGAGGTTTGTATGAGACTCCCTAATGTGACGAAATTAAACTTCCAATATGATTTGGGCGACAGTAGTTCAAAGAAGTACCGTCTCTACAACATTTGCCGCTTAGGTAGACTTGAGTCACTTACCTGCAAATCGTTTCATCTGGTTAAACTACTGCACAACCTCAAATTCCCAAGTTCGATCAACAGGTTGTCTTTAGAATATTGCAAGGTTCCTTGTCGAGATTTGACAATGATTAGTTCGCTTCCTTGTCTTGAAGTTCTAAAATTGAAAACTCATTCGATCGAAGGACGTGAGTGGAATCCTGTTGAGGGGGGATTCCTTCGCCTGAAATACCTCTTAATAGAAGATTGTGATCTGGTTGAATGGAGGGCTCAAAGTTCCCATTTTCCAGTGCTGGAGAAACTTGTGCTTCTAGATATGAATAAACTGAAGCAGATCCCGATTGAAATTGGAGAAATATCAACACTTCAGGTTCTCCATTTGAAATACTGTCGGTTGTCTGCGGTCGTTTTTTTCCGCATTAAGAATTGCGGAGGAACAAGAAAATGTGGGGAATGAGGAACTTCGGGTTCGAGTTGAGTTCAACGGAAGGCGACATGCAGAGAGATTCTGGAAAAATGTGGAACTATCAGAAGAAAGCTTCACAAGTAATATTTTTCAAGTGGTTTAATTAGTCATATGGTTTTTTTTTTTTTAATGTCAGTTTTTATACTTGATTGATACATTCATGAGTTTGGACTAGTAATAGATGGATATGTACAGCATGTACAAAGTAGTTTTGTTACTATCGAAACCAAAAAACAGTTTGCTTATTAATTTGTTCATTAAACTTGATTTGGATCCTTTAAGTAACAATCTTTATAGGCATAACTCAATAGTTGTTATACGTTTTTTATATTCACTAGGAAGGTGGACGTGCGATGCACGTCTTGAGTTAATTTATTATGAGTGTTTTTTTTTCTTATATTGTTTTTGATAAGTTGTTTTAAGGGCATGTTTGGCTAAGTTTATTTTAAACAACAGATAAGCTCTTACATCTGATAAACTATTTTTAAGAGTTCATAAGTTGTTACGTCTTATTATTGCATTTAATTATTAAAGTGCTTGGATGATGAGCTTATAAGCTATTTTTACTCATTATAAGATCTTAAATAAAAAAAGTGGATTAGCGGTACTTAAAAAAAACTTATTCGCTCACGAATAGCTTATTTATTTAATTTTTAAGATCTTTTTTAAAAAAAATTAACAAACACTTTGGAAGAGCTTATAAGCTCTTAAACATATATAAGTTCTTTTTAACAACTTAAAGCTTGGTCAAATACCTTCTAAAAGCTGATGATATTGTTACGACTTATTTCTTGAATTAATTTTTAAAGTGTTTGGATAATGATCTTCTTATAAACTATTTTTACTCGATATAATATCTTAAATAAAAAGGTGATGTAGAACTAAAAAAAATTAAAATCTTATTTGTTCTTTAGCCGCTTACTTTTTGAATTTTTTTAGATTTTTTTTAAATTACCGAACACTTTAGAAGAGTTTATACTCTTATATATGTCTTATAGCTATTTTTAATAACTTATAAAATTAGCCAAACACCCTCTAAATCTAAGATTGAAATATGTTTAAACTCATACATTCTTTATATATTTTCATTCATAAGTCTAATAATCTTTATTTTATTTTATTATATTTTTATAATTTGGGTATTTTTTTCTATCTTTTTCCAAAATTTGATGTGCTCATGATTATCAATAAAAACTATTATTTACTTTGCTTCTTCTTATACTTATTAGTTTTCTTTCTTTTTCATTTTAGCTTTTTCTTTTTTTTTTCTTTTTTTTTTTCTTGCAGCTACTTTTTTTTTTCTTTTGGAACTCTATCACATTTTCGTTCGTAGATTATTAATATATATATTTCCCTTACTGGCCTTCATATAATATTTGTTTTTTATAGTCTAAGAAAAAAAAAGGTTCATTGAATATTATAATTTTATCTATTTCTCGAAATATTTGATTGGTGTTCACTATTTGATTATAAATCAGGGTAATATTCATTTTGCACACCATGTACTATGTGAAAGGTATTGTTTACCCCCTGATGTATAGAGAACATGAAGTACCCCCTATTTTTAACGGTCAATGGTCAAATTTTTAACGGTGTTATATTTGAGGGTGCAATGACTTCGTTACCCTGCTTTATTTCTTATATAATCCCTAATTTTTTAGGCGTATTTTTTGTGGATTGTTGACGATTTTTTACGTTCCTTCAAATTATGGATTTTTGTCAATTTTACTGTTTGACTTTGACTTTAGAAATTTTCAGTTTTCTTTTTCGCGGGATTTTCCTATTATAATATGAAAAGCTTTATTTTAATTTGCAATTCTTTCATATGCTTTTTTTTTTTTCGAAATTTAGGGTTTCTTTTATATTTCAGGGCTTTTAGTTTTCTTTTGTGGGTTTTACATTCATAATCTGCAAAGCTTCATTCTTATTTATTCGACTTTAAAAAATAAAAAATATAACAAAAATGGCTGAAAACCCCCTTAGCTAATATTCCACCCAAGTGATATTTTCGTAATTCTAAAACTACCCTTAATTGTCTACTATACTCTTTCAAAACCCTAATCTTATTTTATCTTCTCTCCCGTCTCTTCTTCTCCCGTCTCTTCTCTTCTCTCTCTTTTTTTATTTTTATTTTTTTTCTCTCTCTTTTCTCTCTCAATTCTTTAGATTATTCTCTCTTGATTGGAAGATGAAGAACCAACCACAAACATCACCGCCAGAACAACGATGCCAATACCGTTGAAGCCATTGTCGTCGTAGCCGTCTCCGTCGCCGTCGTCGTTGTTGCAGATCTTAACAAAAGCCATAAAGATGATGATGAATTTGATAGCGATTCTGAGTTCGAATGCCACGATTACTACATCGGCGGCGAAAAGAGGTAAAATTATTGATTTGTCGCCGGAATCGAATTTTGATGGGTGGTGGTTCTGCTTTGGTTGGTGGTGCGAGTTGTGATTTTATTTATTTATTTGTAATAAAAAAACTGTCATAATATCAAAGTAAGGTGGTGATGGTGTGTTGTGGCGGCGGTGTGGTGAAGATGGAGAGGCAGATTTAGGGGTTTTTGGTGGATTGGGCGGATGACGGCCCGTGTAGTGAATTTCGCGCAGGCTGAAACCGTAATCGACTATATACATGTTCATAGTCGATTAAGCTAATCGACTATGCTCTGGTAGTCGATTAAGGTTCATCGGCTCTATTTTTTTTTTATTTTTTTTTTGTTTATTGATTCCAATTTTATAAATCATTTACAATGTTTGTATATTTTTTGTTTTTGTAATATATAGTTGATTTTGCATTTTTTCGCAGTTGTGATTTGTTATTTTTAGTAGCAGATTCTTAATCGACTATGCATCACATCATAATCGATTAATATGCTTCATTGACTCCTGTTTTTATTTTTATTTTTTGATTTTTTTGTTTATTGATTCAAATTGTATAAATCAATTATAATGTTTGTATATTGTTTGTTTTTGTAAAATATAGTTGAATATGAATTTTTGTAATTGTGATTTGTTATTTTTAGTAGTCGGTTCCTTAATTGACTATAGTTCATCATAGTCAATTTAACATGATTCATAGTCGATTAACATACCTGTTAGAGAAAAAAATATAAAAAATGAAATTTTTTTTTTCAAAATATTAAAAATTATAAAATAATAATAATAATAATAATAATAATAATAATAATAATAATAATAATAAAATAATAATAATGAAATTATAATAAAATAATAATAATAATAATAATAATAATAATAATAATAATAATAATAATAATAATAATAATAATAATAATAATAATAATAATAATAAAAAAAAAGGAAAAGAAAAAAAAAAGACACGACTGGGTCATAGGGATAGTGGGCTACTGGGCCATGGGATAGTGGGTTGATGGGTCATGGGGATGTGTAAGGTGGAGGGACATAAATGGAAAAATGAATGGATGAAATTTGGAGTGGGTTTTTCTCAAATGGTGCAAAATAGTTTGAGCCTTTTTCAATCAAATAGCCCCTATATAGTAATTAGTTAATCCATCAACATTAAATATTCTTATTCCATAAGTAGTATCTAAACATTAAATATATTATACACACCCGGATTTGTATAATACTTTGGTATCAGTAGGGCAATAACATTAAATAAACTTCAAATATTCTATAAATTTAAAATACTTATTGAGTTATTCATGTTGCACTTGTCCTTGTATAGCATGGAAGATGTACCACTACCTATAATTAGACCAATTACACATATATTGTAAACATCAATTAATAACATATAAAACAATAATTTATATAAAATAATATATAACATATATTTAACGTTAAAAGTTTGGTACTCGTTTTGTAACGAAATTACTTACATTTGAAAAGAAGCCAAATAGCAAATTATCAAACAGCGGCAGCAACTTCCCCTCAATATTATTTAAATAGTTTCCGATGTTGTTGCAGTGCACACTTCATCATATGTTTCTCGTTTTCTTGTTCCTCATTTGCTGCATACAAGAAATGTGCATCCCATTTAATAATATCAACTCATACATGTAATGTTGCATCATATATGATAGCTATAATATATGGAAGATAAACCAAAAAATTTTAAGAGGTCTACAAACTTGAGGGTGTTAAGTGTATATTTTTACACTTTATCGTATCTTTTTATTTGAGCTTTTGGTGTGTTTTAACGATAATTGGTGCTTAAAAAGTTGATTTATTGTATTTTAGGTACAAATTGAAGAATTGGAAAAGTATGGGGTCAAAACTGCAATTTTGGCGAAAATATGGGTCAAAAGTGAAAATATCAAAATTCTGAAGATTTAAAGCTCGGACCCCCGTCCCAGTTTTAGTGCAAATTGTGGGACCCCCGTCCGAGACTCTGAAGTTAAACAGTAAAGGAATTTTAATTGCACAAGGAAACTGCCTTCTTCCCCAAGTTCTTCACCCTATATAAGACCAAGCCAAGCACACAATTGAGGATCTTTTTACGCAATTTGGAGAGCAACAAAACAATAACGAAGACGAAGAATTCAAAGACTCTAAGTATAGATTTATCGTTTATGACTTATTTTATTTGTGTTTTTCCTTTAATCATGAGTAGTTAATTTTCTTATTTCTAGGATTTTATTTGGAACCCTATGTGGGATTTATGGACCCTTTTCTATGATTTTATGCAAGTTTTAATTCCGGATTATTTCTTCTACTTGTTTTATTAAGTGCATGAACTTGATCACCTTATGTGCTTTTATGTTATTGTTAATCGCATGAATCGGAAGATCGGATTAATAATTAGAACTGTGGTAGAAGAGCTTTTGTGGTATTAACATAGGAATATAGTTAATCTCTTAAGTAGCCATTATTGAGATTTGAGCTTAATGTTGTATTCTAGAATTAATTGCATAGGAATATAGTAATTGAATCTAGAGGATTAGAATCGTAATACACGCGGAAGCGGGTTATGATAATTTTAGCATCTCAGGTTAATAATCCGGG